GTGTGTGTGTGTGGTGTGTGTGTGTGTATGTGTGTGTGTGTGTGTATTCTCGATCCTCACACCGATGTTCCAGAGAGATGATAGTTTTATTCTCTCGGTGGATGCATGTCGTACTGCAGCAGTTGACACCCTCCAACGCCACTGGCAAATATACCAAAAATCTGAAGCGTAGCAGGAGAGATTGCACGAAGCATGGCTCGAGAGGGGGTGGTAAGAAGGGGGGGGAGTCACGACGCTGTGCGTCACGGCGAGGGCCCGACCACGAACCTGTCGTAAAAATTCGATTGTACTTAGAATTGATTTTCTCGTGATTGGTTTAATTCCAATCTAATTTCAATCTGAATCTTTGGTCTGAACTCGAGATATCGGCTTTAAGGGAATGCATCTGTATATCGAGGCAATAATTTTTTGTATCGACCTTTTTTATATATTAATTTTATAAGTTTGGATAAATTTTTTTCCGTAATTAAAATTTATACATTAACACGTGTCTACCTATATAGAATTCGTATCAAAAAACAGAGAACAATTTTTTTAATTTAGATCTTTTTTATCATTTGTGTTACTTTGATATGGCGTTCTCACAGCTGTGTCAACTCGCATCAATATTTGCTTTACATAAAAATTTTGCAGCTTGTATCTACAAAATTATAATATTGCTAAACTAGAAGATTACGTGATGAAACAACAAGAATTAAATTCTTAGAAATTAGAAATTACCTGATGTGATACAAAACAAAATCAACACAAAAATTTATTTATTTATTCATGTGCAGAAATGCATGTATGAGAATGTATGTATGTATGTATGTATGTATACATAAATGTATCTATATATATTTAAATGTGCAAAATGTGTGAAATTCCGCTCTCGTCGGTGTTTGTTCGTCTCTCCAGCATCACCTCGATTTGAAAATACGCGCTAGCGAGTGGCTCGCAGCCGGAAGTTGGAGTTCGCGCGCCATCTTTGCCGCAGACGACGCGACTCGCCCGGACGATCGACTTCCGTTTTGGCCGGTTTACGCAACAGACAGACAGACAATCCGTCGATTCTCGTAAGCGTTTTTTCCTTCAGGAGTCACCGACGAGAGGATGTTGCGCGTCGTAGCGACACGCGTGGCCTCGGCGGCACGCACGGCGATGGTGTCCCGGGGAACGGCCGTCGTCGGCACGCAGTGCACCAGGTCATCCCACGACAGTGCCAAAGAGACTGATGAGGAATTCGATCAGCGATATGTGAATTTCTTCAATCGGAGTGATATCGATCACTGGGAGATCCGGAAGGCCATGAACGATCTGGCCGGTGAGCTCGCGTTAATTACGTTAATTATTATTAATATCTAGGAGCAAGATCTAAACACCTCGGGATCATCAGGGAGAGGCGACAACACCTCGAGTTGACATGACGAATTGAATTCAAATTGAGATTTGCTTTGCTAGGAGCTCACCCCTGGATTCTAACTTACTCTCGTACTCTCGGGTCAATATAATCCAAATTTGAATTTATTTTAATTTTCGAAGCAATCTTAGTGAAAGCAATCAATAAAATAAGCACATTTTAAATCACAGACATTTTTTACAATCAAGAATTTCAAGATAACAATAAAATATTTCAAAATATAGAATTGAAAATTAATGAGTTAATGAGTTGCAAGTTTTCGATAAAAGGTAAAAAGCTATTGTTTTTTTCCATTTATTCCACACAATTATATAAAACTATCGTCGAATGTCTCTTAAATCATAGCTTCTTAGATTAATTTTCCTTTGTCGAGAATGTCACGAAAGATCCTCCATTGCATTTTCTTGTTAATTAAATTAAAATATTCGATTAAAGCTTACTTAAAGTTGAGTGATTTCTTTTTGTCTAATTAAAAATCTTAGAAAAGTCATTCTAAATTAAAAGAAATCGACACTATCGGTATTTTATCATGAGAAAAGGAATATTGATCTATATATTTAATCGAATGGCTGAAAGGCTCGACAATATTTTCTTTATACTGATCTACAACTGTAAAATAAGTAACAATTTTATTTTGTTTTATTTAGGTATGGATCTTGTGCCAGAACCAAAGATTATATGTGCAGCATTGAGAGCTTGTAGAAGATTAAATGACTTTGCACTGGCTGTAAGGTTCCTAGAGAGTGTAAAAGATAAAGGTGGATCACACGCTGACAAAATCTATCCTTATATCCTTCAAGAAATCAAACCTACCTTGGATGAGCTAGGCATCAGCACGCCCGAAGAATTAGGATTTGACAAGCCAGAATTAGCCTACGAATCAGTATATCATATGTAATGAACTTGAAATTATATTGTACAAAATTCTAGTATTTATATCCCTAGTTACTGCCTGAGATACGCGCATTAAGAGAATATTGTCAGTAAAATTGAATTGTACATGTATCTACATTATCAGCAGTGTTGTTAAATAAACAGGCACGATTATAATTATTGTCTGTTGTTCATGAAAGATCAAAATGTAATTCATGATGTTGAATACAAAGTGTGCCGGAATTTTAATTTAAGACATTATTACAAAAATATAAAATTGACAAAAATTGTGATAAAATTGTAATCACAACTTTTCAACTTTTTCACTAAAGAAAGAAGTTATTCCAAGTTATCCTTAAAATTGGAATCGCTTGTCAGATATCTTTATATATTCTGTGAAGACCATTGGGTTAAACTTTTGCTCTGTGCTGTGTTGTATACTGACTGAGATATGTACAATAATATTATATGACATAATTGTATTAATTCATTTTCCTCAATATCTTATGTAATTTTAATAGAAGCATGTAGTAAACGTAGAATTGAAAACAGCTTGAGAGATGGCGTATTTACAAATTATATGACACGGAGATTGGGATATACATCAGCAAAGTCATATACACATATGTCTATAATTATCTAAAGTCATAATACACATTTTTTTTCTTGTTTTTCAAATGACATCCAACTTAATTTATGCTCGCGCTGTGTGCTTTGTTACAAACAATAGAGGGAAAATATAACATGTTTATCTTACATGTGAGTACCGATATATTACATCATTAATGTAGCCTTGATATAAAAAAAAACGCAACAATTAGTCTAATCATTATGATACGTTTTTAATAATATTTACTAGACTAACTTTAACTACTTTCTCCTATAATGTTATAAAAATCTCTTTGGTATTATTACACATGGTGTCGAGGGCATTTTATTGTTTCAATGTTACGATCTTCAAAGATGAGTCGCTTTGCGGTATGTATGTATGTATGTATATATGTATGTATGTAACATACTGTATATTATCTAATTTACAATTAGATAATGTTAAATAAAACTGAAGAACATTATTATTTAGATCGCCTACATGTGATATATATATATGTATATATATTATGTACAAAGTAAAGAGAGAATATAGTGCAAAGTTGAAGAAGTAAGATTATTTTGAAAAAAGAATCCGCCTTTTGCCACCGTAACATTGAAACAAGATTGCACGCAAAAAATACACTTTTCGTCGCTTTAGATACATTATATAAAAATGGGGGGAGGGCATGATTTAAACACTGTGACACAGTTTGACTTATTTAATGTAAAATGAATCGATTTACTTTGATTACCTTCAAATGGAATGAAGAGATATATATATATATATATATATATATATATATATATATATGAATCCTGATTTTTACAATTGCATATCCTTCCTCTTTAAAAAATTAGTACATATGTCATAGTTTTTAAATTTCCGAGATTAAGAACATTAAAATAATCTTTCATATAAATATATTAATTTTCCTTTCTTTCTGAGTTAAAAATCAAACGATAGCTCGTTTCGATTACGCTAATCGAAGCAAATACGCAAATAGTGCAATTCTCATAAAATAATGGACACACGTCTCTCGTTGGTGCGTAATTGAAATTGCAAATTCATATAGTCTGTATTGAAAAAACATACATCTTATGTCCTATTTGTACCCGTCAGAAATGCTTAACTTTTTTTTTCTTTGTCATTATTTCTACTATCTCAATCCTTTATATATTATATATACTAGTCTGTTTTGCATATCTTGACTATTTAGAAAAAAATTCCAAGTGGTCAAGATAAATGAGAAACGCCCATTGTATATATTATTATATATAATGTTATATAACTCTGTGATAAGAAATTTTTTTCGATAATCTTTTCACTTTTTCACTTGGTGCTCATACAATTCAAACAAGCTGAATTTTGAAGTCGAACATTCGAACAGATCGACTGCGCGATTTATTCGACTATTCGTCTGACCTCTATTTTTTACTCATAAAAATAAATAATCTTTTGCAAATAATTCTTTTTCACGATTGTGATATAACGAAATTATTTACTTTTAGGCACCCGCAGGAAAAGGCTTTATGTCTTTTTATCAAATTTTGGAATAAATTAACAAAATTAACCGAATTATTTTTGTTGCTGTGTTTTGGAAATTCGAGCTTCATGATATATTATCTTTAATAATGAATGAAATAATTTTCATATAAATACTTTCCATGGAAAACATCAAATTAATGAAAAGTAAATGTCTTTGGTGTATTCTTATGTAACAACCTGACTCTAAGACTAGAAAATATGTGCTTAGCTCGCGCAACACTGGAAAATATGTAATTTTACATTTTCCAATGAACAATGCGCAATAGGTAATTATCATAAATTATCTTCGAAAACAGATCTGTTCGTCTGACATGACCTCTTCGAAAATTAATACTACATCCGAGAAATTGGATTGCAAGTGAATCCTCAAGCGTCTATGATGAATCTTGAGTACAAATATATGACTAATTCTAATCCAATCGCTTCTGCATTCATCCATCATTAACTTCAGATAATAATCGTCATTGAACGACGACGCACTCGGCGAGACACACTACACAGTACAGTGACTCAAAGAGAAAAAGAAAACACAACACCAATCGTTACGAATTCTTTCACACAGGTCTATCTCTTCCGTATATCACTGGAATGTACCGACAGGTATTGGTACAAGTGGTACGGAGTGATTTTTTTTTTTTAGATTAACTAGATTACACTTAACGCGTTTATTCTGGGCTAGATACAGTTTGTTGTTGTTGACTGTCCTCGTCCTTGACATCGGCCTGCATGGCCTTCGTCAGAACGTTGGCGTCCTTTAATGATATTACTTGAAGAACTTGATGTTCTCCGGCGGCATTTATCATAGTCATAGGATGACCCTGTATAGCGACAGCCTCAATGGTGGTATCCCCACTGCCTGGCTCGACCTTGGGTACCTGAACCATCGGCGTTACAACTTGCATCGTACCGTCGCTCTGTATATTGGCCACCATAGTTTGATACATACTGGCGGACACTGGCACCGTGATCACTCCTGAGACTGAGACAGGATATCCTGAAACAAATGTACAATGAGCATTTTACGCCCTGTACACGATGAGGCAATTTTCATTTGTATTGCGAACTGGAAATGGATAAAAGAAAATATAGATAAACAAATATCTCAGATAAATTATACTCACAATGCGACAACGTTAAGAAGCTGTTTGCAAAGCGCTAAAAACCGATTTAATATATCTGCGCACGATTAAAAATCGTGTCGTTCGCACTCTTCATTCGAGAGATAATTATGACTTCTATTGTAACAGTAACTACTGGTTTATATAATTGAATATACATAGGATTAGTAGAACTTCAGTTAATGGATCAAATTACACTTTTTTTCGTAACTGGCATGATGCGGTCGTCGAATCATTGTAGTTATTTATAAAAAGAAAAAAAAGGATTATTCATATTGTTATCGAGTGGAATAGTAAATAGAGGATACAGGTTTCATATTGGAAAGAACAATGAAAAAGGAATCGAATAGAGAATTGTAAAACCGCTGCGTGCCAGTTAAAAATTTTTAAAGCAAGATCGCACATTATGTAAATATCGAACGATTTAAAACGCAGAAGTAGTACCATTTAATTAATTAGAGGGTGCGCTAAAGGAAAAAACAATACGTGTACTTACTACAACTTAATAATTCTCTGGCACGCCTCTTTAACTTAACGCAAGATCGAAATATAGCTTACGGTGTATTTAAAAAAAACCAAGGCGTTTATGAGGGACAGCAAGTGTTTAAGCCGTTTGCAGAAATTAAATAAAATTTCACACAATGACACTTTCGAAAAGCGCAAAAATATTTGTCTAACTAACGAACTTTTCATTTCAAGCAGCTTAAACACAGGCTGCTAGAACATAATGTATAAAAAATAATGGTACATCAACAAAAAATACTCTATGTACAGCAAGTTTATTTTTGTTCAGTGTCAGTAAACCAACCTTTAATAATAATAAGTATAATCATAGAACAGTTTCTTCCGTTATCGCGATTGCAATAGCGGATTATTTTAGTGATCATCATTCATAGCGATCGATTCGAAAATTTTAGAATCCAATGGCGATATATTTCTTTTGTAACCATTTGTACATCATACATTTTTTTGTTATATTATAAAATTTTATAATAATAGTTTTAATATTTAGAATTAGTTTTTATATACAGATACATATCACG